ACAATTCTATGATGAAAAAAAGAAACCACAGACAAGTTTCTGAAGAGTGACACCTCAGTAAGAACCTCAATTGAGCAGGTACTTAAGAGGCATTCCATGAAGAAGGCATTGTTATACGAGATGACAGCTCCATGCTGTGATTTTCCCTGAAGGACCTCCCAGTGGGACAAGATGTGGAGGAGGAAGACCCTAATATTGATCCTGACCCTGTGTTGGGCCTAAGCTAATGTGTGTGGTTATATCTTGGTTTTTTTTACAAGAACATTAAAAAAATTTATTGTATAAGTATATGAAGAAAAGATATTTTTGTGCAGCTATACAATTTTTGTGTTTTAAGCTAAGTGTTGTTATAATAGTCTTAAGTAATGGAAAATAATGCCCTAGGGCAGTGATGGTGAACCTATGACACGCGTGTCAGGTGACACGCGAACTCATTTTTTTGGTTGATTTTTCTTTGTTAAATGGCATTTAAATATATAAAATAAATATCAAAAATATAAGTCTTTGTTTTACTATGGTTGCAAATATCAAAAAATTTCTATATGTGACACGGCACCAGAGTTAAGTTAGGTGTTTTTCAAAATGCTGACACGCCGAGCTCAAAAGGTTCGCCATCACTGCCCTAGGGCCTAGGCCTTCACATTCATTCACCACTTAATTCACTGACTCACCCAGAGCAACTTCCAGTCTTACAGGCTCCATTCATGGTCAGTGCCTTATATCGGCATACCATTTTTATCTTTTATACTGTATTTTTTCAGTGTCTTTTCTATTTAGATAACACAAATACCATTGAGTTTTCAGTTGCCTACAGTAACATCTTATACAGGTTTGTAGTCTAGGTTTGTGCAAAGGCATTCTGGTTGCACGACAAAATCACCTAATGATGCATTTCTCAGAATGTATTCCTGTTAAGCAGTGCATGATCTATAAAGTAAATGCTATACATAGCATACATCAGTGACAGTGTAACAGTCCTCTTCCCCCAAACCCTTTCCCGGGTGCACCCTGGTTGGCTGAATCCAGGGGTGTGGAAGCTGCAGGTGTAGGAGTCCAGCTGTTTTCTAGGAGATGACGGTCTTGTACATTTTTGGGTGGGTCCAGAGAACTTTATTGCTAGTGCATGACAAGGTAGGGCTCTCTAAGCTCCTTCCCTTCTTCAGGGGGTTTGGGATGGAAACTGGTGGTCAGGAGATTCTCTGTTGGATTGATTGGGGCAAGGACTCCCCAGTAGCCGAGGGCCTTTTACTCCTTGGAGACCATGTGGACCATAAGGTTGACCACCCTTTTGCTGTAGCCCAGTTTATTGTCATACCAGGAAATGAGCTTGACAGACAAAGTGATCAATGTCAGCCCCAGCATCAAAGATGAAAGAATTGGTGTTGCTGTTAAGTTGCAGGAGGTGGCCTGCTCCTTAGTATAGCCCAGGACGAAGGGGCCTTCTGATGCCTACTTCACCACCTTGATGTCTTTGTATTTGGTAGCTTTCTTAGGTGGCAGGTCATATTTACATCAACACATTGTTGATAGGGGCACGGAGGGCCTTTCCAGTGAGCTTCCCATTCAGCTCAGGGATGATCTGGTTGGCCGTGATGGCATGGACTGTGGTCATGAGTCCCTTCATGATGCCAGCGTCATGGATGAGCTTGACGGGGGAAGAGGCTAAGCAGTTGGTGTGTGGTGCAGGAGGCATTGCTGACAACCTTGAGGGAGTTGTCATACTTGTATGGCTCACACCCATCCCAAACATGGGGGCATTCGCAGAAGGGACAGCAATGATGACCTTCTTGGCTCCAGCCTTCTCCATGGTGGTGAAGACACCAGTGAACTCCACAACATATTCAGCACCAGCATCACCCCATTTGATGTTGGCAGGATCTCATCTCATTACTGGAAGATGGAGATGAACTTTGCATTGATGACAAGTTTGTGTTCTTAGTCTGTGCCTTTGAAGTTGCTATAGGTATAATCATATTGAACATGTAGACCAGTTGAGGTCAATGAAGGGGTCATTGATGGCAGCAATATCCACTTTGCCAGAGTTAAAAAGCAGCCCTGGTGACCACACACGCCCAATACAGACAAATCCATTTGCTCCGACCTTCACCATCATGTCTCAAGGTTGCAGCTGTCTTTTGAACAGGAGAAGCAGAGAGCCTCCTTGTACTGTTTTTAAGAAGATTGTCCTAACTAGATAAATAGTTTTAGTAAATTTTCTTCTATGCCTTCTGTAACCCTGAAATAAAATTCATAAACGACTTTATTGTTGTTAATCCTCACCTGAGGATATTTTTCCATTGATTTTTAGAGAGGGGGAAAGACAGAAACATCAATGTGAGAGAAATACATCGTTTGGTTGCCTCCTGTACACGCCTGGACCAGGGCCTGGCCCTGGGAGGAGCCTGCAACCTAGGTACATGCCCTTGACCAGAATCGAACTGGACCCTTCAGTCTGTAGGCTGATGCTCTGTCAACTGAGCCAAACCAGCTAGGGCAGATAAACTACTTATATTTCTTTTTATTACAGCGTATAATGCTTTGATATAACTAAAGAAGACATGATCAACATTCAGTGCTACTACAAATATGGATTGATAAAAAGAGCACTGTATTGGTTGCCCAGATACACTAGCAGCATTATTAATTTTAAAAATCCCTCTCCATGAAAGTTGCATATTTAGTAAATTTTGATGCATAGTTGAACAGAAAAAAAATGCTAGATTCAGAAATCAAATACATTTACTTACGAGGAAGTTGAGTAGGATACCACATAATTTTTACCTAGTAATTCAGCAAGCCTGACACCCTTCAATAATGCAAATAGTGTTCCCTGTCTCTGGGACAACTTTAAATGCCTTTTGGTAGCCAATACTGCCCTCGTTGAGAATCACTCTTGCAGACTTTCCCCACCTTTCCTAATTTTTCTCTACTAATTTTCAAAATTTCTACCAATTTTTTGTTTGTCCCCTTACAGCAAGGGTGGAGAACCTTTTTTCTGCCAAGGGCCATTTGGATGTTAATAACATCATTCACAGGCCATACAAAATTATCAACTTAAAGGTTAGCCTGCTATATTTGGTCAAACATTTAACTCACCCCTAATGCTTTGGAAGAGCCGGGCCAAATGGCCTGACAAGGCTGGACGTTCCAGCCCCTGCCATCATGTTGGACTTAAAAACTAATTAGTGATGGTTATGGAACTGTTTGTAGTCCTGTTAAATATCCTCATGTTAATGATATTCCGGGTTATATGGATTCTTAGGTGTATGCCTTGCTCCATGGATCAGCCAGGAGCCCCATAGTCAATAAGCCAGTCAGTCTAGTTCATTGTAACCTTTGTCCCTTTTGTCATTACACAGTAGAGCTACTGTTGAGCCCTCTGACTCTGGTTTACTAACAGAATGAAGAGGGTGGGAGAACTCAACAGTCTAGGAGTCTCTTTCACCTCCAGTGGTTCTTCTTGCTCATGGTATTACTACCTTAACCCAATCCCCAAGCTAAAAATGCACATAATTCTCCACTTCTAACATTCATTTATCCACGGTTTTTCCCGTTTTACTGCAAGGCATTTCAAATACAGTTAACATACAGACCCTTAGTCCATTCCTCTTTTAGATTTCTGAAGTAGCTTTTAACTAACTGGATGCCTCAAATTTCCCATATTAGCCACTAGATTTTAATAAATATGATTAATAATTTAATTAATTAAATTATTAATTAAATTTAATTAATAATTAAAGCCTAAGCCTCCATTACGACCGGATGACCAGCCAGTAGCTACGACATGCAGTGACCACCAGGGGGCAGATGCTCAGCACAGGAGGTGCCCCTGGTGGTCAGTGTGCTCTGGTTGGCCAGATCAGGACTGGGCTAGACGGCCCCAATTGGCCAGGCCAAGGACCCCACCAGTGCACGAATTCATGCACCTGGCCTCTAGTATGTAATAATTGTATCCTGCCACATTCCTCTACCTAAAAGCCTTTACTGGCTTCTCTACCTGTATGACAATTTTCAGCTCCTATTCTTAACCTCCCACACAGTGATATCGCTTATGCTCCAGCCAGTTTGAACTCAGTTTGCCTTCTGTACACGCCTGTTTAATTTACTTAAAGTCCTGAAGCAAATACAGTGGAAACTACTTATCAGTAGCTTGACTAGACTAATGATTGATGTAAAATGGTTCCTAATAGGTGAGAAGGGGTTGTGTGTGCTAGTGGAAAGTTTTATTTGTCTTTACCTGCTTAGTTCTCCAATGTAATGTTTGCCACATGAATGATGTGAATATTGGTGGTGTCTGTATTTCATTGTGGTGGGTGGTTTTTTTAAAAAATCAATACTTTTATTTAAGTCATGACAGTATTGAGCAGAGTTCCCATATACCCCATGCCCACACATCCACAAAGTCCTACACCATCCTATACCATAACCAAAGTTGGTCCATTCATATGGAGACATTATCATCACTTATAGTTTGTAGTTGACATTAGGATTCCCTCCTAGTGTTGTACATCCTATGGAGTTTTTAGTGGTCATTTTTATGACCTCAAACAGAGTTAGGAATAGGAAATGGTGAAGAGGAAATGATTGAGAATTAAGTGAGAAAGAAGGAAGCTAGTAATGGAAGGAACCATGCACTAGAGGTAAGAATGCGGTGTGCTGGAACATTGTAATGTTCAGTAGGATAAGGAGTGGCAATAGATGTTTCTAGTCACTGCTACCCTCCTAATGGCTTAGTAGGTCACCCTTTGGTTTCTTAGACTGTTTTATCCTTCCTACAGGTGGTGAGGTTAACAACTGTTGGCAACTGCTTAGTCTTTAAAGCAGAAATCACAGTGGCTTGCTAGTTTTGTTTTCATTGTTTTGTTTCATTTTTAAATTTCCTAATGGCTGGTTGGCAGTCCAAAAGTCTCTAATAGTAGGAAAAAGGGGGGAAATTTATAAAAGGCATCGTAAAAGGTCTTCCATTTTTAACTTATTCAACTTGGTTCTCTTTCTTGCAGGAATGACACCAAGGAAGATGTATTTGTACACCAGGTGGGTGATTGTGTGGATATTTATGCTTCTGACTTAAGGCTTTTGAGAAGAAAGGGGAGGGTGTCTTTTCAACTAATTGATTTAATTCCTATAGGAAGAGTGATAGGATGCTTAAATGTACACATTGAAACATATTGGCAGTTTACTTAAAGATAGGTGTTTCAAATTGTTATTTTGTTAATAGTTACAGCTTTTTAAAATAGAATCACTCAAGTCATTACACTAAATTTTTAAATCTAATTTTAGATGAGCAAAAAAACCCTCCATTAATCTAAACTTAAAGATGTTTTCAAATGCTATTAGGTTTAACTGTGGTAAGGACACATTACAGTAATCATGGGAGAAGTAGGACAGAGCTGCAAGACATTAACTTGAAATGAATGCTAGAAAACTAGCAGAGTAACATCCGTTCTTCTGCTTATTCTAAAGCACTTTGAATGGGTAAGATATGTTTTTACCTTTGGAGAAATTTGGCTGGCTTGGGTTTTTTGAAATCCTCGCTAGTTTAAGGCTAAATGAAGAGGCAATATGGCAAAGTTGGTAATCACTCAAATAAATTTTAGGTTTTCTTTAGTATTTTGAGCTGAAAGAACTAACAGGGTAGGTTCTACATGCTGAACTTTCTCAGGTACCATTTAAGGAAAATATTTCGGAGGATACTTGAGTATTAAGGACTATTGTTAAGCCACTACCCAGTGAATAGTAATATCTCAATATCATACATATATCAAATACTCCATTGGATTTGAATATCCTCCTGGGTATTCTGCCTATTCAAAGAAATATGCATACTTGGGAACAAAAAAAAACAGCAAGACTTGTTAGAAACACTGACGGGATTGGGGAGGGGTTGAAGATGCTGATTGAAAGGAGAGTTGGGGGTTTAATTATTCACGCTTCTGCTATCCCCTATGACTGCAAGTAACTTAGAGTTGGTTAAATATGAAAGGTACGAAAACTATGTGACAGTTTAGATGACAGATGAGATCAAGTTTTTGGCTGAATGAGTGTCACCCACTTTTACTGACCCACAAATGTCATCAAATATGCTCTCCTTTTATTTTGGAAGTGGTTTCAACATTGACTTGTTTCTTGGGACTTTGGCTGCTCAGGTCTTAGTGATGTACTATCAAGGAGACTGCAGTTCTGGGCAACTTAGCTTAATTGGTTTCAGATTGTTGGTTGTCCTGCCTCCTTTGGAATGGAAACGCATGAGTGATCCTGTAATGGTATCGCTGTGATGTAGTTGAATTAACATGGGATTTGGGGTCCGGGGACCTGGATTTAGAAAAGTCTATACTCTGCCACTTATTATCTGTGTGACCTTGGGCAAGTCACCTAACCTTTTAAAGCCTGTTTTATCTGTAAAAAATAATTTTATAAAAAGGAATAATACCTCATATCATTTGTCATAATGAGAGTGAATAGGTAATATGTGAAAGAACTTTATAGAAGTATTACCCACAAATGTGAGGTGCTATTCTTCCCCCTTCTACTTTGTCATAGCAGTTTGGAGAAAAAATAAATGTGAGATTTATTGTATTGTGGGGCGTTAATAACCAGCTGTCCCATGCAGTCAGATAATATAAAAAGTGGCATAGTTAATAACATTTGAATTACATTCCATTGAAGTATTATCAGAGGTTGGAAGGGATTTTGGTTGATATTTGTAATTGAGTTTGATATGGTAACACAGGGGCAAAGTTGGTTAGGTCAACTTTGAAGCATGCAAAACTAAACTCGCCTGTCATCTAAACTGGCCCTGTGTGGGCTAGCTTCTATTAAGTGCAGTCTTTGGGGGATAGATTGATATCCTCATTTTGTTCAAAGTAACAATGCTTTTGCTAAAAGCATTAAAATACATATATATTGCTCTTGAGTATTAAACTACACGTTTTAGTTTGGAAAATAGTGGTAAAATGCTGGGACATTGTAAGACTGGAGTATTTTGGTTGAGGTTGGGGGTAGCATTGGTCCCTGTTTTTGTAAATTTATTGGTGGTTTGGTCTTATTTAAAGCTAAAATAATATTGACTCTGGTACATTTTAAATGAAAAAGCACATTATTCTCCCCTGTTAATCTATTTTTGGAATGTGATATTACTAGACTGCCATAAAGAAGAATAACCCCAGGAAGTACCTTCGCAGTGTAGGAGATGGAGAGACTGTGGAGTTTGATGTTGTTGAAGGAGAAAAGGTGAGGATGCTTTTTGTGTAAAGGTTTGACTTCAGTGTGGAAATATTTTGGAGATCTCATCCGTTAGGATGGTGGCTCTAATGTGGATGGATGGGTCAGGTGACCACATGAACACAGGTGCATCAAGCCTAATGTATGTGCTGGCTGCAGTTAGAGGGCAATCTCTTCAGAACAGTGAGGAACTAATGTTTAATCATTTCTATGCACCCCTGGCCACAGACCCTTTTTCTATTTGTTTTATGTAAATTTTGTTTAGTGCACTTATTTCTGTTGTCACTGTCAATATATTATGGCTTTTTGTAGGGTGCGGAGGCAGCAAATGTTACAGGCCCTGGTGGAGTTCCAGTACAAGGCAGTAAATATGCAGCAGACCGTAACCATTATAGACGCTATCCACGTCGCAGGGGTCCTCCACGCAATTACCAGCAGAATTACCAGAATAGTGAGAGTGGGGAGAAGAATGAGGGATCAGAGAGTGCTCCCGAAGGCCAGGCCCAACAACGCCGGCCCTATCGCAGGCGACGGTTCCCACCTTACTACATGCGGAGACCCTATGGGCGTCGACCACAGTATTCCAACCCTCCTGTACAGGGAGAAGTGATGGAGGTAAGTTATGCCAAAAAGTAAGAGTCAGCCCTCTAACCAAAGGGTCGTGGGTTCAATATCTGGTCAAGGACACATACCTAGGTTGCAGGTTGGATCCCTAGCCTGATAGGGCTGCATGCTGGAGGCAACCAATCGATGTGTCTCTCACATTGAGACTTTGCTCATTCACTCGCCCTCCTTCCCTCCCTTCCACTCTCTAAAAAAATCAATGGGACAATATCCTCAGGTGAGGATTATCTAAAAAAAAAGATATAAGCATCAACAACACTATGTGATAACTTGATAGGACTGCATTATGAGCATTTTCTTGGTATCTTCTCCATATTAATCCTGAGAAGCACTTTTAATTCCTAATAAGAACCAAAGGGTTAATAATTAACTTATAGCATAATCACAATTACTAGATAGTTTTATTTATTTTTAATCCCTGTAATTCAGACTTGGGATTTGTCTTGTTGGGTTTTTACTCCATTACTGATCTGGTTGGCTTGATTTCCGTTGTCTTTTCAGGGTGCTGACAACCAGGGTGCAGGAGAACAAGGCAGACCAGTGAGACAGAATATGTATCGGGGCTACAGACCACGATTCCGCAGGTATGGTTTAGATTTAAAATTCCCCAAGCATATTTTAGGGACCGGCAGCATGCTTCTGCAATCTTTTGAATCATTTTTCTGTTAACACTTCACATTTGCTTTTGTCAGATGCCTAAAGGTAAACCTGAAGTCAGGTAGTCAGTTATCTTTGAGAATGTGTTCCTTGCATCCTTTGTGCTGGCTCTGGTTAAAAAACAATTTGCATAGATAAGGTCTGCTTATTCGAGGTTGTTTTTTGTGTGTTCTTTGTCTTCTTCCTCTCCCTCCCCCTCCCCACCTCCCATGAGAGTATGGAATTTGAAACTTTCTGTTATTGAACAGTTTAAGAGAGTAGTTTAAACTGCATTATTATACCTTTAAGACCTTTGGGAAGGAGAAGAGTAAAGGTGAGCATTACCTTTCAAGCATAAGCAGTATCTGAACTGTATTATATCATAAATGAAGAATTGAGTTTTGCCTCTGGAGGTAGCATAATTTTCCATTAATCATTTCTCAGTTTAGGTATATACTTTTTGTTAGTCACCCCCAAATGGCAAAATGTAATCAGAATCCCCAGATGTAATTGCTAGACTAACAGTCTACTCAAGAATCAAACCAATACATTAATAATTACTCCTAACTGATGATCGTTTACATACCAGCCTTAACTGTAGATGCCAAAATGAGTTTTAAGAAACAAGTTTATTAATATAAAAGTACCCAAAATACAATATAGAAGTCTTCAAAATATATTGTGACTGTACAGGAAGGGAGGTTTCTGACTAGGAGTTTTGTGTATTTTACCAAAGATGGAGCACTCAATAAAGCTTTAGGAATTTGGGGATCCAGTTGCGATTATGCCACCTATAGATGTGCAGTGAGGGTTTTGTAATAGCCAGTGTCTATATATAGTGTATGTTTTCTTACTTTTAATGATCATTGTCCTGTCTTGAGTTTTTCGTTAGTGAAAATGGACTGGAGTTATAGCTGGTTCATTAAAATTTGAGATTTCTAGTTCTCAAGCCACTGGGAAATTGCATTAGCCTCATCCTACATGTTGGAGGTAGATGGGGAGGACTGTTTTTTGTTTGGTTGGTTTTTGTTTTTTAAATGTTGATTTCAGAGAGGAAGGGAAAGGGATAGAGAAATAGAAACATCAATGATGAGAGAGAATCTCTGATCTGCTGCCTCCTGCATGCCCCCCCACTGGGGATGGAGCCTGCAACCTGAGCATGTGCCTTTGACGAATCAAATCAGGGACCCTTCAGTCTACACACCAACCCTCTGTCCACTGAGCCGAACCAGCTAGGGTAAGGATTGTTTTGATACTAATTGTTGAGCTTTGTTGATCTTGAACTACAAACTATTTTAAACCTAGACATAGGTACCTTATTGAAATACTATATTTTAAATAATAGCACAATGTCATTTTTTAAACAGTGATAAATGTTTTTAAAGTTGGTCTAAAAGAGGTTCTCGGGGCATTCTACCCATTACATCCATGGATACCAATAACAGAATCCTTTTTGTTTTGTTTTTTCCCCCCCTCAGAAACCTTTTTTACCTTTTTTGTAACACTATAGAGCTGCCTAGTTTCATTGATGTCCTTAAAAATAGAACATGGCCCAGCTGGTGTGAATCAGTGGTTGAGCATCAACTTATAGACCAGGAGGTCACAGTTAATTCCCAATGGGGGCATAAGCTCAAACTTTGGGCTCAATCTCCAGTGTGGGGCATGCAGGAGGCAGCTGATCAATGATTCTCTCTCTCTCTCCCTTCCCTTCTGAAATCAATAAAATATATATTTTTTTAAAATAGAACATGAATTTTTTGTTGAGTGCTTCAGTTTTTGTTTTGGGTATTGTTTGTTTGCTTTTAGAGAGAGGAAGGGGAAAAATCACCAGTCAGCTGCCTCCCACACGCCTCTTGTGGGGATTGATCTCACTACCTTTTGGTGTATGGGACAATCCTCCAACCAACTGAGCCACACTGGCCAGGATGAGTGCTTTGGTTTTACTGTTTGCCTTTTGGTTTAAGTTGACTTCGTCTCATTTGAATGGATTGACTAGTTGGGAGCACTAGGTAATTGCTATGTTGACATATATTGCCTTAAACTTTATAATGAGTCTGTTAATGGATGCAGCACTTCCCAAGCTGTTTAACCAGGATGCCCCCCCCCCCAAAGTGATTGGCAAATGATGTATACATAGGGTGAGATCCTGATTGGTGTATGTCCAAGAACAAATGGAAAGAAATCTGAGATGAGTATGGCAGTAATTTTGCTGAAAAGAAGACAAATGATGTGGCAATGAGGAAAATATGTTATAAAGAATTTTTGCTTATGAGAAATCAGAGCATATTTGTAGACTGAAAAATGCAATAGAAGAGGACAGTTATTTATAGTGGGCCCACCCGCATGGTTGTGTTTTTTGAGCCATTTTGAACAATAGGCTCAGACTGGGCAGAGAGTTAGATTTGTCCAGCATTTGTTTATCCAAATGAAAATACTAGGGTTGGGATTGGTTATAATGATTAATGGTGGGCTTTGTATTGGATAAAGGAAAGAAAGATTCAGGAAGAGTTAGGAACATGGGTGATCAGATCATGTATAGGTCCTAGTGGAAATAAAGTATGGGAGAACAAGGGATAAAATAGGAAGAAATGATTGGAGAGTGGAAGGCTTGAAATTAAGAAGACCCAAGTAGAAGTGGGCGGTAAAGAGTGAGTAAAAAAAGCCCATGCTTTCGGGGTCTGTCATAACTAACAGGGAAGGATAGTAAATGGAATGTACCTAGCCGAAACCGATTTGGCTCAGTGGATAGAGCATCGGCCTGCGGACTGAAAGGTCCCAGGTTCGATTCCGGTCAAGGGCATGTACCTGGGTTGTGGGCACATCCCCAGTAGGAGATGTGCAGGAGGCAGCTGATCGATGTCTCTCTTCAATGTTTCTAACTCTCTATCTCTCTCCCTTCCTCTCTGTAAAAAATCAATAAAATATATATTTTAAAAAAAATGGAATGTACCTAACATGACATTTGAAGCCTTGGGGTTTTAGAAAGAAATGAGAATGGATTTAGAAGTCACGGTGGTAGGATGGGACAGCCACCATTTAAAGGGCGCAGGGGAGAAAGCCACAGCAATTTTGCTAAAGACCGTGAGTTCTTAAGAAAAAGTGTGGGGATTTTTGCTTGTTCATCTGAATTTCAGCAACATATAAAAATTTAGGAAACAGCCCTGACCGGTTTGGCTCAGTGGATAGAGCGTCAGCCTGTGGACTCAAGGGTCCCAGGTTCGAGTCCGGTCAAGGGCATGTGCCTTGGTTACGGGCACATCCCTAGTAGGGAGTGTGCTGGAGGCAGCTGATCCATGTTTCTCTCTCATAGATGTTTCTAACTCTCTATCCCTCTCCCTTCCTCTCTGTAAAAAAATCAATTAAAAAAAGATATTAAAAAAATTTTAGGAACAAAAAGAAAAGAAAAAGTGTGGGGCTCTAGCTGGTTTAGCTAAGTGGATAGAGCATTGGTCTACGAACCAAAGGGTCCCAGGTTCTAGTCCAGTCAAGGGCACATACCTGGGTTGCAGGCTCCTCCTTGGCCTGGGGCACGTGCAGGAGGCAACCAATTGATGTGTTTCCCTCACATCAGTATTTCTGTCTTTCCCTCTCTTTTCCATACTCTAGAAATCAATGGAAGGATTAAAAAATTAGGTAAGGATTAAAATAAAAAAAGAAAAAGTGTGGGGAGTTTCAGAAGGTTCAGTGGTTGGAAGTAGATGGGAGATTGGGGGATTTACAGGTGAAAAATGGACTGTAGAGATCTAAATGGGAATTAGAGTCCACGATTATCAGAACATAAAAAGACATGATTCCAATCTTGGGGTTCCTTAGACTTTAGGGGGTGCTGTGAGTATCGATGCCAAGTATTGAGGAGGGGCCAAGAAAACATCACTGTTGTCAATATTTATAATCACCAGCAAAATAAATCATACTGTCTTGTCTTGAATTGTGTCTTGTCCTGATATTATTGTTTGTGGTGCTGATATCTTTAATTTTAGGCCATTAAAGATAATTGCTGCAATGTAACACTTGAACTTTTTTTTTTAAGTGTGTTGCTTGGTGTTTTGTTTTGTGTTTTTTTTTTAAACATATTCACCAAGTTATGCAACCATTACCAGTATCTTAATTCCAGGCGTTTTTCATCACCTTCCAATAACGCCTTCTTCATTCCCTTCTACCCTAACCCCTGGCTCACACTAATCCACTTTCTGTCTCTGGATTTGTCTATTTTGGACATTTCATATAAATGGAATTATATGATTTGGCCTTTTTTTTTTTTTTTTTAACATGGCTTTCACTTATCCTATTTTTAAGGTTCATCCATGTCATAGCATTCCTTTTTATGGCCAGATTACATTCCATTATTTTGTTCATTGATCAGTTGATAGACACTTTGGTTGTTTGCCGCCACTCCTCCCCCCTCCCCCTTTTTTTAGCTTAACTTTTTCATATCCTCACCAACCCTGATTATTTTTCTACCTTTTGATTATGACCATCCTAGTGAGTATGAAGAGGGCATCTTTTCTTTAAATTTTATTTCCTGCCTTTTAAGCCAGTGTTCATCTATAAAGGTTAAGTAGCACTTGTTCCCAAACTTGGTTGCTATAAAGCCTATTTAAAAATGTTTATAAAATGACATATCAAGTGTTAGTCATTTTATGGTTAATTTTATAAGAGTATGCTATTGGTAAAAGATTGCTTGTCCAAAATCCAGTTTTAAAGACTCACTCATCTTCCAATTTTCACTTCCAAGATCTTGTACCAAGTCATCACTCAGTTTGGGAAATAAAATTCGCTCTTTTGTTCTTGTTAAATTGCTTGCAGACCATTTGATGAACAGAAAGAACCTGATAATGGTGTTAATACCAGTGGGTGGTTAAAGAAATAAGGTTTCATCATTGCACAATGTTCATTCCAGGGGCCCTCCTCGCCAAAGACAGCCTAGAGAGGACGGCAATGAAGAAGATAAAGAAAATCAAGGAGATGAGACCCAGGGTCAGCAGCCACCTCAACGTCGGTACCGCCGCAACTTCAACTACCGACGCAGACGCCCAGAAAACCCTAAACCACAAGATGGCAAAGAGACAAAAGCAGCCGATCCACCAGCTGAGAATTCGTCCGCTCCCGAGGCTGAGCAGGGCGGGGCTGAGTAAAAAATGCCGGCTTACCATCTTTACCATCATCCGGGTAATTGACCCTAAATGGCCTCTAGCCTCTGAGCAGTCATGAGTTCATTTATGCTAGAGAAAAACCCATTTCAGTTTACATCTTGAACAATTGGGGCTTTTTCAAACTTTTCTGAATGTATTCTGTGATTTCACCAGTTGATAACCTTGCCCTAAGAATTATGTTAATTACCTTGTGTTGCATTTTCAAAAAGAAATGGTATAACCACTAAAAATAATAACCTAGATAATGATGGCCACTATAGTCTCTTTGGAGAAAGTGGTAACCTTGACATACTATCAGTTTCAAAAGTACAGTATTCTTTTTTACTTGATACTGGAGGGCTTGTCATCTCTGTTTGGCTCTGGGATTAACTTTTTTTAAAAAATATATGTTTTTATGGATTTGAGAGAGAGGGAGAAAGAACCATCACTGATGAGAAAGAAACACTGGTCTGCTGCCTCATGCACACCCCCTTTGTGCATGGGATGATGGTCATCACACTGGCCTAGCTGGGATTAGCATTCTTAGCCACTGATGCTTTTTTGTTCTGTCCCTCTGTGCTATTTTTTTGGGGTGGCAAAGGTCACCCTGAGACCTGCAAGTAACCATGTTGTCGCAGCAGTGTCCACCCCTGTTGTGAATCGCTGTCTTAGAATAAACCAGTTTGATTTACGTGGACTGTTCCAGGTCACATCCCTACTTAGTTGATGTGACTTGGAGCATTTGGTATATTGAAATAACATTGCAGTGAATTTTACAAGATAATCTCTATTATTTTTTTCTTTTACAGTTTAGTCATCCAACAAGAAGAAATATGAAATTCCAGCAATAAGAAATGAACAAAAGATTGGAGCTGAAGACCTTAAGTGCTTGCTTTTTGCCCGTTGACCAGATAACTAGAACTATCTGCATTATCTATGCAGCATGGGGTTTTTATTATTTTTATCTAAAGATGTCTCTTTTTGGTAATGACAAACGTGTTTTTTAAGAAAAAAAAAAAAAGCCTGGTTTTTCTCAATACACCTTTAAAGGTTTTTAAATTGTTTCATATCTGGTCAAGTTGAGATTTTTAAGAACCTCATTTTTAATTTGTAATAAAAGTTTACAGCTTGATTTTTTCAAAAAAGTCAACAAACTGCAAGCACCTGTTAATAAAGGTCTTAAATAATTGTCTTTGTGTAACTGTCTGTCTTGTTTATTTTCGTTTATAGTCCTTCGTAAGATCCTTAACTTAAACCTGTCTGAAAATAGATTACGCTCTGGGAAATTTTCATAAAATGTGTAATTTATTATTGAGTGACTAAGAGGCCCAGTGTGCAAAATCACATGGGACCCAGAGTCCCTCCCACCACTGCCACAGGATTCATCAGTGCAGCTCCTGGTGACAGGTCATTTGGGTGTTAAGGTCACTGACTTTTTGTAATATAGGTAGACTAGGGGCCCAGTGCACTAATTTGTGCACTTCGAAAGAAACTGTGGGCTGTGAGGCTGCCCCTGCCCAGTCCCTCCTAACACGGCCCTCGATACTGTCTGCTGTCAGCCCCTCTCACGCTCACACATGCTGATAGCACTGGCCCCGCTTGTACCCACTGACAGCGCAGAGCGATTGAGGCTGGTATAAGCAGCAGCTGCTGCCTGATGGCCCCACTGGAGCCAGGAGGAGGTGGAGAAGCCCTCAGTGGTCAGCCACTGCTCGCACCCACTGATGATGCCAAGTGATTGGGGCTGCACCAGGTACCAGCAGCAGGTGCAAGAGGGGCCAGTGCTGGCAGTGGGTGTGAGCAGAAAGACTCCAGCAGTGGATGCAAGTGCCAGGCAGAACCGCGGCGCAGGAACAAAGAATTTTCGGTAACCAAGAGAGGCTTGCCCCGATGACGGCTACCAGTGCCCCGCCTTGGTTTGGCACCCCTGTTCACCTGCTCCACCATCCAGACGCCTGCCGTGTTCTGCGCACGCCCCTTGTGGTCAGCGCACATCATAGTGACTGGTTCTGGTTCCACCATTTGGTCTATTTGCATATTAGCTTTTTACTATATAGGATTATAAAGATACATGGCAATGTCACAGAAATGACACATCTGTATAGGGCATTTCCTGTGAATGGAGATTGCAGGCGTGGAAGTTGCTCTGAGTGTCAGGATGGTAAATGACTGAAGGCCTAGGACATTACACTACTGTAGACTTTATAACTGAACCACAAACCCTCTCCCCTCCTTGCTTTCTAACGGCATATAGAATGTCAATGCTGCTCCATGAACAGTATGTTAGTTGGATTGGTTGGAAATACAAAGAAGAAACCAAATAAGCTGGGCAAGGTGTAGGTCACCATGACTGACTAAGGAGGGAATAAAACTTGGCTTGAGGGTCATCAGGAGGAATCGTTGAGATGGGAGAGATTAGGGGATTGTTGCAATGTGGTTTTGGCTATTGCATGTTGGAGCAAAAGATTAAGGAACTTTGGTATGCCTGGAAATCATGGAGAGGGTGTTTAACACGCAGAGCATCTAGAGCTGGTCCTCTAGATTTTAACTTCGGAAATTTTGTTTTTTGCTTCATTGCCCCATCTGGTTCAAAGGGCTCTCTGGCATTGGTTGATGGAAGAAAAATTTACACTTTATCCTATATAATAAAAGTGTACCTGGTAATATGCTAATTAGACTGGACAACATTCTAGAAGAACCTGGGGCAGCGAGTGAAACCTGGGTCCCAGGTGCCAGAGGGAAGCTGGTGCCGGCAGCCGGGGGGGAGGAAGATTTACCCTTGCATGAATTTCATGCATCGGACCTCTAGTATCGTAACCAAAAAAAAAATTTACAAAGTACAGGGAGGGACAGGCTGGCTCCACACTACTGCAGGGAGCCCTTACTGAAGTGGCAATGGTACATACTTGAGGTAGCTCCTGTGGACCTGTGTCCGTGTGCAGGATCTGAGGTCCTCCAGGAATTTACAGCAGTGTCCTCTGAAGATGTAAATCTCGGAGGCCTGAGGGGACAGGCTTTTCTGCTGAAAAGGTCACTGGGATGTAATCTGTTGCTTTTAAAATTGAGGTGGTGAGGAATGGAATCTACTGCCAAGGGCACACACAGTGATCCCCTCGGAGATCCTGAGCCACAGACCCATTTCTTAGACAAAACTCGGCTCCATTATGATCTGATGGGACCATCATTGCCTGTGGTCTGCTATGGACAAAACATGTAGTGCATGACTGAAGTAGTTGTCTTAGGGATTGGGAAAGCACATATACTAGGGAAATAGAACTGCCAGCAGGGGGGGGGTTGGGTTTAGCCAGGGCTTTGCCACCTAACTTCCACAGAGGAAGAATAGAGCAAAAATATTGATAATGGCCCTAGCCGGCTTGGCTCAGTGGATAGAGCATCAGCCTGAGGACTGAAGGGTCCTAGGTTCGATTCCGGCCAAAGGCACATGCCTGGGTTGCGGGCTCCATCCCCAGTGTGAGGTGTGCAGGAGGCAGCCAATCAATGATTCTCTCATCATTGATGTTTCTATCTCTCCTTCTCCCTCTTTGAAATCAATAAATATAAAACAATTAAATATTGATAATGAATGTAGAGCTACAGTCGACAGTAATGTTCCCAACATCCACTTCCACCATCCCCTCATCCAGGGATGGGTCTGATTAGCCAAAGCCAACAAAAGCATAGTGTTCTCTGGTGACTTGAATTGGTCCAGGACTTGGCAAGTGTTCCAAATTGACTCAATGGAGTAGGAGTACTAATTTAAGGGAGTTGGAGGTAGTGGTCCTAGACTGGCATGCCTAACTTGAGATGTGGTGCAGTTTCTGATGATGACATGTAGGTTATGATCATGTGAGTGGAAAACGAAGAGACACTGCTGGAAGTGGAAAGGTCAGAAATAGACAATTATGTTCAAAGAATCCTCTCTGGGCAATGAGATGGCCACAAGTGATGGTAGAAGTACCATGGAGAAGACCATGACGGTGACCCTGGAATGAAAATCTTACAGGAATGCTGCTGGATAACGGAAGTAATCTGAAGATGCGGGCTTCAAAGAAGTTGGCGTTGAGGCCTTATGAGGGAGGAAAATGGTGTAGAAGTGGCAATGGTGTGACAGGAGACTTAGCCCACCACCAGGCATCATGGTACATGGGTTAAAAGAAGAAAAACACCACTGAAAGGGCTCCGAGGGAAGTAGTGTCCTAGGGGTGAGTCTGTTAGAGGTAGAATAAGAAGGTGAAGGAATATTCAGAATAGGCTGGTGACTGGCTTTCAGAGGTGGGAGGTTTGTGAAGGGAGCAATATTGGATCAGAATCGGGGTAGGAGAGAGTTCACGGGAATTAAGATAGTTAAAGCTGAAAGGGGAAAGCTTTAACATCTGGTAGACAGGCAATCGGGAGTGTAGAACAGGACAGGCTTAGTCCCGCGGTTCTGCTGGAGGAAGGACTAGTCTGATACTGGTGAGGCTGGCTTGTGGCTGGGAAGGAACAGTTTTAGCAACTCTGCTTGGAATGGTGCCCCAGGGAGAGGTGGGCCAGTTTACATCTCTTTAATCTGACTGCCTGCTTATAAGGCTATAAATGGTACAGAAGTGAGTAGATTTATACCTATTCAAGTGATGTTTTAGCACTTTACAGGCTTAGGGCAGCTAGCTGGTGATAAGGAATCTGGATTATTTTTAAATAGAATGCTTTTCATTTCAAAAATATTACTCTGGGGCAAAGAAAAAAGTTTAATCGGAAATGACCAATTTAGACATTGTTGCATAAGTCCATATGAGTAATGAGACCTGGACCATAGACATGACAGAAGGAAAAGGAGATCCAATTTGAGATGTTTTCAGAAATGGAGTTGACTGATCTTTGTGACTAGCTAGATGTAGGGATGAGGACGAGGGAAGAATCTAGCATGACTGTGGTATGTTGATGCAAATAGTGCCATCTGCTGGAATAGAGAATGCAAAGGGGTATGCTCAGTTTTAGCTATATGGAGTTTGGGGTACCTCTGGGCCATCCATGGGGAGTATGCCAGAAGCTGACTTGTAGCTGAGGGGGGTAGGTTGAAGCTGAATGTTTGACACTCATCAGGCAGCTATTGAAGCTATGGTCATAGATGAAGTCACATTACTCAAGGAGCATCTGTGAAGAGCAGAGGGTGGAGTCCCAGACTTTTGAAATAAGACCATGGACATAAAAGTGATGACTGAAAAATGATGTATTAAATCAAGAATCAGGGACATCATAGAATCTTAAAGAATAAAGTAGAGCCGGAACCGGTTTGGCTCAGTGGATAGAGCGTCGGCCTGCGGACGGAGGGGTCCCAGGTTCGATTCCGGTCAAGGGCATGTACCTGGGTTGCGGGCACATCTCCAGTGGGAAATGTGCAGGAGGCGGCTGATTGATGTTTCTCTCTCATCGATGTTTCTGACTTTCTGTCTCTCTCCCTTCCTCTCTGTAAAAAATCAATAAAATATATTTTTAAAAAAAGAATAAAGTAGAAATGGTTCAGCTGGCATCAAAACCAAGAGTTCCAAGGAGGTGAGGTGGACCCCAGACTGCAGAAGCTGGAGGGTGAATGGAGCTGCCAGCCCACAGCCTGCTAGGTCCATCCTGACAGGTCCCAGCCCCTCAGAGTCAATCCTGACATCCCACTTGTTCTCATAGTCCATGTCCCATAAAATCCTACCTTTGAAACCCCCAGAATCTGAACACTTCTCACCACTCCCAGTCCCACAGATCCAGGCCTCCAGCACCTCACCTGGATTATTGCAGTAGCCTCCTAGGTGAGCTCCCTTAAACCTTCCTTCCCACGCAGCAGGGCGTCTTAAACACCATGTCAGACTTGGAATCACTTCCCTGCTCAGACCTTCCAGAGGCTTCAGTGTCACTTGCACCTGTGCCCCCACCTGTCCCATTCCCATACTGTTCCCCCCAGCCTCCTCCACCCCAGCCTCAGGCCTTCCCTCCCCGGGCCAGGCACACTCCCACCCAAGGCCTGACACCTGCTTTCCCCTCTCGACAGGATGGCTCTTTCTCCGGATAACGAAATGGCTTTCTCCCTCAGATCTTTCAGGTCTCTGACCACTTTGACCTTCCTTGACCGTCTGTTTAACGCAGCAGGCCCTCCCACACCCAGATCTCCCAGCCTCCTTACTTACCCTGCTTGATTTTTCTCCATAGTGCATACCCTCACCTGCT